CCTTGTTTGAGTTGGTGAACACTGCCATAATCCTAGTCTTCAGTTCATCTTTGGTGTTACAAGGAGTTTTTTGATCAACTGCTCAACTGTGCCCCCCCCCCACATAATAATCAAGAGGGCTGTAGTCTGGGGAGTTAGGTGACCAAATGTAAGCGGTGATGTGGTTGAAGAAATTGTCCGACAACTATGACTGGATTTTTCTGCTTGTCAAAAAAACTTTCTTGTCAAAAACAAACGACAAGCATGCGCGAAATTAAAAATATAAAATGGCGACAATTTAATCATCACACCCTGTATAAGTTTTAGAAGATAATGTCTGACAATTTCTGCGACCACATCACCCCTTACTTCTGGCCACCTAACACCTCAAAATGTAAACTCTTTCATTATTATGTGTGGGGCGTAGTTGAGCGAAGATGAACTGAAGGCAAGCATTATAACAGCATCCACCAACTTAAACAAGTAGACCGTTCAGATGAGTTGCAGGTGATTCCGAAGTCGTCTGGAGGCTGTGGGTGAAGTCAATGATGATTTTATTGAATAAATTTACTATTTTTTATTTCAAGATATTTTTGCGTAATTTTAATAAATATATATGTTAAAATGAGATGTCAGTGTTATTTTCATTTTTGCATAATTTAGACGACAATTTATCCATCGCAACCTGTATGTATATAGTTCTACGTATGTAAATATTTGTATAGAATTCGATAACATGACAATATATCTACATATCTGAAATAAACTTTCTGTTTAATTATTTACATTGATCGGACTGTTGTCGTCATCTTTATTGCCATATTCACGAATTCGGCCGATGTACGATCCGGCCTTCTTCAGGTGATTTGAATTTTGAACTAAACCATTAATTTCGTCCACTGAGGTAGATTGTACTAATCCCACGTGCCATACCTCTTCGGATGTCTCAGTTATCTGCCTTTAACTCAACTCACCAAGTTTTTGTTCACCATTGCAGGTATTGAACTCACTACTCTTTAGGTCAAGTCACTTGATCCAAGCAACGCTTTCATCCATTAGGACACCTCATCTCAGAAATATAGACAAATTTTCCCTTTCTATCTAATTATGTGTGTCTATATGTATACAGAAATGTTTGTGTCTATTTATATAAAAATCTTTGTATTTTTTTATTTTCGTTTTTATTTTAACAATTTTCTTTTCAGAGAAATGTCAGTCTACTTTACTCTAAGTGTAACAATGACAGATTTAAACCCCAAATCGTTATTGATTCACTATTAATGGGGGTAATAAAGTAAATTAAATGCTGACGTTTGAGGACTGACGGGTTTTATGAGGGTCCCAGTTACAAATATTCGAATGAAATTATTTATGTTAACTCAAAATATCTACGTAAATACTTACATAATATTTTCACTTAGACTAACACACATGTTTACATTTGTACGCAATTCCTAGGAGTGACTTTGCCTTCTGTTTGCAAATCAGCCATATTATCGACAAAGCAGACGACTTTTGACACGTGAGAAAAAAGGGAAGAAAGTCGATGAGGAAGAGCAGAAAGGCAAAAAACAAGAAAAAGTTCAGAAGTGAATCATTAATGAGAGCAACAAATGTACAAATAAGAAAGAAAGAAAGAAAGAAAGAAAGAATGTCGCTATCGGGCGATTAACGTCTGTTAAAGTGAAATGGAAAAAAGAAAGAAAGAAAGAAAGAAGTAGCGTACGGAAGGATAAAAGGATAAAATAAACATATGAAAGGAACCAATAATATATATATATATATATATATATATATATATATATATATATATATATATATATATAAAAGAAATTCTTTTTAAACATTTCACCCCAAGCAAGACAGGAGTGTCACTAGGACGCAATGGGTTACAGAGAGTGAAAGTAAGAGTAAAGGTTAAAAAGAAGGACGGGGATCAAGATGAAGGCATCAGAAGATGTCCATTGGCATTACATTTGAATATTTGAATATTATAGATCAGGGAAGCAAGTAAGAGGAAGGGAGTTCCCTTGTCGAGAAGTGCGAGAGAAGAAGCTGTTGAAGTAGAAGAGGCGGTTACATTTAACTGTTTCGACTGTGAAAGGGTGGGACCGAGATGCCAACCTAGTAGCACGCTTAAATTCATGCATTTGGGGAACCAGCGAAAGTAGCTCGTCAAAGCAGTTACAATGAAAATATTTGTAGAAAAGACAGAGGGAAGTCACATCGCGTCTGCTAGAAAGTGACTGGAGTCGAGATGCCAGGTCATGACCTATCAGATTGCATATCTATCTTTGGATTTTATCGAGAACCTCGAGATGAACATCGGGGGCACCAGACTATATATGGCAAGAGTATTCAATACAAGGACGAATTGTAGATTTGTAGATTTGAAAGATGGACTCAAACGAGAAAAACCTTCTGGCGCCACACAGAGAACCAACTTTCCTTGCGGTAGATAAAGCTATTGATTCAATGTAGTTGTTCTACCTCAGGTCAGTGGAAAACGTGTGAGCAAGCATGCGCAGAGAGACGTTCTCGTGGACTTGAGCATCAGTCATGCTTTATAAGGCAGGGAGGTTTCTCTATGGTGGGTAAATGAGAATAGTTTAGGGCGCATTAAAGTTTACAAGTCATTTCCTGCCCGAGTCAACCACAGAATAGAGATTCTTTTCGAGACCAACGGCCAGATTAACTTTGTCAGCAATGTTGGATTTACTATTGAGACAGTAAATGGTAGCCTCATCTGCGTAGATGCCTACTTGAGAACTGATGACGTCAGGAAGATTGTTGATGAAGATCAGAGACGGTATAGGGACAAGCATAGAGTTTTGGGGAACACCAGAGTTCGTATGAAAGAAAGTAGAGCAGAACCCGTTTAGGACGACCTTTATTTCACGCTTTGGAATGATTGGGTCAAATCAAATAATCGTCCCGTAAAACCTTATCCCTGAAGCTTACGAAGAGGGCCGGCATGCCAAAATATATCAAACGCCTTAGAGTTACCTAGAGCTACAGCCTGAGCTTCGCAGTTATTATCAAGAGCTTGGTATACAAATTCAGTTATGGCCGTAAACACGTCAGCGGTTGACCGGGCAAATCGCCAACCATATTGTTTCTCAGAAAGTAGATCATGGGAGGTAAGGTGTTTAACCAATTCGGCATTGATTAAAGCCTCGCAGACTTTGCCGAAGAGTAGTAGGAGACTGATAGGACGGTAGTTAGATGGGTCAGAAGGTTCTCCAGAGTTCTTAAATGGGAGGAAAGAAAAAATATAAAAAAAAGGAGAAACGAAAAAAAAAAAGGGAACAGAAAAAATGGAGGAAAAGAAAAATTGAAGGTGAGAAAATAAATGGATAGAAAATTATGAATTAAAATATCATAAAAAAATGGAAGTCAAGATTTACAAATAAGAAAGGAAGAAAAACAGATAGAAAGATAGAAAGAAAAAAGAAAAACGAAAGGAAATAAATAAATAAAGATAAAGCAATAATGAAAGAAAAGAAGACATAAAAGAAGAAAAACAAAGAATCGTTTACGGATGGATGAGAAAAAAATAATGAGGAAAGGAAAGAAATTAAGTAAGAGAAATAAAGAACGAACGGACGAACAAAATAAATAAATAAATAAATATTTTACGGAAGGGTGAAAGAAAAAAAAGAAGAAAGGAAGAAAACCAAGAAAAATAAAGAAATAACGAAAAAAAAAATGATAGAAAGAATGAAAGAAAGAAAGCTGATGAAGGAAGGATGAAATTTAAAAATAAAGAAAGAAAAAAGGAAAGAAATAAGAAAGATAAAAAAAATAACGAAAGAATAAATAGAAAGAAAGAGACAACAAAAGAAAGAAAAAAGAAAGAAAGAAATAGTTTATGCAAGACTGGAAAAAGATAAAGAAATGGCCAAAGATGGAAAGAAAGAATGAATGAAAAAGTAAATGAAAATGAAAAAAAAGAAAGAAAGAAACGAAAAAAACTGCAGGGGTATAGAATCATTATTTCAAATAACATTAAAAACTTTAGAAGAAATAATGAAGAAAAAAGAAACAAGAAAAGAAGAAAAATGAACGAAAGGAAAAGGAAGTAAAGAAAAGAAAAAAGAAAGCAAAGTAGAGTAAGGAAATATAAAAAGAAATAAAGGAAGAGGAGAAAAACTAATAAAGAAATAGAGGAAGAAATTAGAAAAGAAAAGAAAAAAAGGTAGAAGAAATTAATGAAGAAAAGGAAACAAATGAAAGAAAAAGGAAAGAAGGAAATAAAGAAAAAACAAAAAGAAAAACGACGCAAAAAAATAAAGAATAAAATAATGAAATACAGTCGAAGAAGGAAAGTCTGTAAGGAAAAAAGAAAACCGTAAGAAAGAAAACTCAAAGAATAACAGAAGGAAAGAAAATGAATGAACAAAATATAGAAAAGAAATAAAGTCGAGAGAAGTAAATGATTATATGAATATATGAATGATCAAAGAAGTTATGAAACAAAGAACGAAAGAAGGTCGATTGAAATGATATAGAAAAAAAGAAGGTTAAAATAAATAAGAAAATGATAAAGAAATCGATAGACTGCTCAAAGAAAGAGAGAAATGTCACAAGAATCAAGAAAGAAAGAAATGAAGACGATAGAAAGTTCAAAGAAAGAAAGAATGAAAGAAAAACAAAAGAAGTGATAAAAAAAAAGAAAACTGAAATATAGAAGGAGTTCATAAAGAAAGTACGAATGATGGTTGATAAGGAGGGAAAAAAAGAAAGAATGAATGGAGGAATGAAAGAAAGAATGGACAAAAGGAGGATGGCGGGAAGCAACACATAAAGACAGAAAAGAAAAAAAAAGGACGATAGAAAAGAGAAAGAAAGAAAGACGAATGAAAGAGGGAAGAAATGAAAGAAGAAACACAGAAACAAAAAAAGAAAGAAGCCCGACATAGAGTAAAGAAAGAAAGAAAGAAATTTCAAAGAAATGTCGATATTAAAGATGCAAAAAATAGAATGAATGAAAGGAAGAAAATTGAAATTTAACAAAGAGATTAGAAAGAAGGATAGAAGAAAAAAAAAGAATGTAAGAGAAGGATGGAAGAAAGAAAGAGTGAAATACGGAAAGATGGAAGAAAGAAAGAACGAAAGAAGGAAGGATGAAAGAAAGAAAGAATGAAGGAGGGAAGGCCGAAAGAAAGAAAGAATGAAAGAAATAAAGATGGAAGAAAGAAAGAAGGAAAAAAAGGAAGGAAGAAAAGGTATGAAAAAAAGAAGAATGGAAGAAAGAAAAATGAAATAGAGAAGGATAGAAGAAAGAAAAAATGAAAGAAGGAAGGAAGGATGAAAGAAAGAAAGAAAGAATGAAAGAGGGAAGGCTGGAAGAAAGAAAGAATGAAAGAAATAAAGATGAAATAAAGAAAGAATGAAAGAAGAAAGGATGGAAGAAAAAGTATGAAAGAGAGAAGGATGTAAGAAAGAAAGAATGAGATAGAGAAGGATGGAAGAAAGAAAGAAGGAAATGAGGGAGGATGAAAGAAAGAAAGAATGCTAGCGGGAAGGTTGGAAGAAAGAAAGAATGAAATAAATAAAGATGGAGGAAAGGATGAATGAAATAAGAAAGGATGGAAGAAAAAGTATGAAAGAAAGAAAGAATGAAAGAAGGAAGGGTGAAAGAAAGAAAGAATGAAAGAGGGAAGGCTGGAAGAAAGAAAGAATGAAATAAATAAAGATGGAAGAAAGAAAGAATGAAAGACGAAAGGATGGAAGAAAAAGTATGAAAGAGAGAAGGATGGAAGAAAGAAAGAATGAAATGAGGGAGGATGAAAGAAAGAAAGAATGATAGCGGGAAGGTTGAAAGAAAGAAAGAATGAAATAAATAAAGATGGAAGAAAGAAAGTATGAAAAAAGAAAGGATGGAAGAAAAAGTATGAAAAAAAGAAAGATGGAATAACGAAAGAATGAAATACAGAAGGATTGAAGAAAGAAAGAATGAAAAAAGGAAGGGTGAAAGAAAGAAAGAAAGAATGAAAGAGGGAAGGGTGAAAGAAAGAAAGAAAGAATGAAAGAGGGAAGGCTGGAAAAAAGAAAGAATGAAAGAAATAAAGATGGAAGAAAGAAAGAATGAAAGGAGAAAGGATGGAAGAAAAAGTATGAAAGAGAGAAACACGGAAGAAAGAAAGAATGAAAGACGAAAGGATGGAAGAAAAAAGAATGAAGGAAGGACAACGATAAAAATAAAGCAGAAAAAGGATAAAAAAAACAGTCAGCCCTGAGAAAAATCACTATCCCAAAGAAAAAACAAAAAATTAAATGCAAAAAAAGGTATACAAAAGAGGTGTCAAAACGTGAAGCTCATAAAAAAGAAAGTGAGTGTGAGATGCAGCGAGAGAGAGAGAGAGAGGGGAGAGAGAGAGAGAGAGAGAGAAAGAGAGAGGGGCTTCATGATATTTGTAATGAATAAATAGTGTCAGTTTTAGACGCTTTCCAAGATGGCTTGACTCAGTGGTTTTATGACTCAGTCATGGCTTGGAATATCTTCGGAAATTCGCCAGTTCATGCAGACGTACGTGTCTACATAAACTATCATTAGTACCGTGCTTAAAAGCCCCACAAAATTTTTCCCTTAATATTTAGCAAGTGGCAAGAGAAATTTTCCAGATTAGTCACGTCGCTTTAGGAATGCGTCCGTCAAGTAAATTCGAAGGACTTTGTGGATTTGACCATTAATGGTTGTATGAATTACACACCTCTGTTTATATTTCTGAGATAAGGTAGAATAAATATTTACACTATTTACAACGTTCGGACTGCTGATCTCATCTTTATTGTCATTTCTCAACGTTTCGGCCGTTGTACGCTCTTGTCTTCTTCAGGTGAAATACGTTGGAAGTTCGAATCGAACCCTTTCTTTCGTACACTGGGGAGGATTATTCTAGTTTCACGTTCCATACCTTTTCTGATTATCTCAGTTTTCAGTTAATTCCCTTTAGTTAACGACACTCTCCAAGTCTTTTTTTTTTTTCGTTGTTCACCTCTGATGGATTCCTTCAACCAAACCTTGCATCCACTGGCCCAGTGGATAAAAGCGTTGGATGAAGTAGTCCAAAATTGACTTGACCTAAAGAGTCGTGAGTTCAATACCTGGCTACAGCAGAGTTAAACAAAACTTGGAGAGTTGAGTTACTAAAGGGAATTAACGGAAAACGGGGATATCCAGAAAAGGGATGGAACGAGAACCATATACCACGGTGTACGAAAATAGAGGGTTCATTTTGAAATTCCAACGTCACCTGAAGAAGGCGGGAGTGTACAACGGCCGAAACTTTGTGAATATGACAATAAAGATGAGGGCAACAGTCCGAACAATATAGTTATTGGTAATAAAATCAAGTCTATGTTTATATATTTGAAATAGGCAAATTCATTTTTTTTTAAATATGGCCTTTTTACTCAGGTTATTTACATGAGGACAGTTGTCCTCATCTTTGTTGTTGTTACCACGACATTTCAGACACGATACTTCGCTTTTAAATAATGCAAATAATGATAAATCTTCATATCAGAAATTCAGGCAGGAAAAGATCCTTTTAACTCGATTTTTCGAAATAAAACCTCTTGTTTCATATGACTGATTCGTTTTATACGGCTAATGAACCCTTTACAGGTTATTTCAAGCCAGAAAACATTTTTAGAATATAAGATTTTTTTTTCTTTGAGATAATAATGATTTAGGGATACAAGATTTACTAATACTTTATATTAATTAAGAGATGGATTCATACGTTTCTCAATGGAATTTGCGTGCAATTTTATCTAACGAATCCGACTGGATTGGGATCCAAGCTCCTTGATTGACAATTCCGTGTAGGCTACCATTGACCAGGTTCAACGTTGCTTAACTTTCTGTGATCGTACAGGACCTGATGTTTCAACATGATGCGGTCGTAAGAACTTTATATTACTCTCACATCCAAGCTTACAGCAAATGATATTCCCAAGCTACTGACCAGGCTCGAGATTACTTAACTTGAGTGATCGTACGGTGTTTCAACGTGATGTGGCCGTAAGCGTTTTGATTTTTTGATCGTAATTTTTATTTAGGTAATACGCACTCCCAGGAACTGAAGACAATATATAACAAGAAAAGAAATAAATGTGTATAAGATTTGAATTAGTATGTTGGAAAATTCAACGTTACTAATGCTATGACACTGATCAGTAGTACTAACGGAGAGTTAATTACAAAAATAGTTGTAGACTTTTTAATAGGTACCAATAATTTGCATTTAAATGCAATTTGAGGACATGATTACCAATTCTGATTTTTAATTTACACAAGTGTTCCTCTTTAGGTTACTGATACAACACGATGTTACTAAACGTTTTTGCTTTATACTGGACAAATCTCATCTTAAGAAATAAGAGTAAGTAACAACAAAAAAAAAACTTTGATCAAAAGATCAACCAAAGAAATGGTAATACAGAGACCCTATTGATATTCTAATGGCCACCCAGCAAAGATTACAGCAACTGTGATGGCTCTGGGAGCCGTGAGCAACTATGGCGATGTCATGTGTCCTTACTTCTTTTCTCAGAACTTAAGGTTTTATGCTTCTCATTATAAGGTGTTGGAAAGTGATGTGAAGCCTTGGATAGAAAGCGTGACTAAAGGAAGACTCTACATCTACCAACAGTACTCTGTGCATTTTTATAAGTGATATGCCACGGAAAGGGATATATTTGATCGAAGTAGCCAAGTGGTTTAGGTTACTCTAACCGAGTAGAACAATCTAGCAGGTAGCAGTAATGGAACTGGTACGCGTCGTAGTCAATAGGTGTAGGCAATAGGCATAGACCAATAGGATAGCCAATGGCGTAGTCCAATGGGCGTCGACCTGTACCTCTACATCAGCCTGTATTTATGGCTGACACCAGCCAATCATATTCCTGTGAGAGGGAACACTGGTGTTTCCATATTCATTAAATCAATAAGGCAAAGACAACTCAAGAATGGATAAGTTTAAATCTCCACGATCGTGTCACCCTAAACATACTTCTTCCTAGCTCTCTAGATCTTAATCATTTGGGGCCGTAGTCGAGAGGAAAGTCAAACAAACCGCCGACCCATAACAGAATAAAATCTCTGAAGTCAGCCATAACTATCACAATGTCCCAAATAGATAAAGATCATCGGATTCAAGTAGGTCAAAGTTTCAGACCTTATATTGAAGCATTCGTCGATGCCAAAGAGGGAATCATTAAGATGCGTCAGAAAGAGCCTCAAGATTAGTCATGTCGACTCTTTCTCAAATCAAAGCTCTTCTTATGCGTCTTTTATTGAATTTATTGAACCGAGTGACACTGTAAATGTTGTCTGTGCGAAGACAGAGGTGAAAATATCTAACCTACAGCAGTAACCAAAAAGTAAAACGCCTACTAGATGGCCTAATACCATCAGAACACACACATTTGTATGAAAGGCAGAGAAAATTGTCGACAAGAATCTCAGAAAGTCAATTAACGCCATAGTTAAGTAGCTTAATTTTTCAAGGCACTCTATTGGAACAATTGCGCATGAGGACCTTCGATACACATCATATTGGATGAGGAGACAAAAGATAATGGTCTGATCCGCACGAAACACTTTTAAATATCATGTGCTTGGAATGCTTTCGTTTTTGTCTGATTATAAAAAAAAAACTATGATCAGGGCCGAAAGGCCAATCGAAAAGAAAAAATGACAGATGGTCATACGGAGTCCCTAAGAACATTCCAACAGTCTGCAAATAAAACATTTGGAAACTATCATGGTTCTAGTTGTGGGCAACGAGATAGATATCATGCCACCTTACGTATTTCCACATGGATTTAAGGGTCAGCGCTTCTCACTATAAGGAGGCATTGGAGAGTGTTCCGAAGCTTTGGATAGAGAAAGTAAACAAAGGAAGAGGATACACCTTGCAACAAAACTCCGTGTCATTTCGTAAGGCTAGTACTACTTAAGAATTGATGAATTACAATCTACACAATCAGATCACCACAAAATATGGCCTCCTAGCTCTCCAGACCTGAATCCGTTGGACAACTACTTATGGAGAGTAGTAGAAATCAGTCAAATAGATAAAGATCATCTGGTTCGGGAATGTCAACATTTCAGATCTCGTAATTAAGCACTCATCGATGCTAACGGCGGATTCCTTAACCCTAGAACACTAACCATGGTTATATAGTACCCAGCGCAAATTTTCCTATTTTTAATTACAATTTTCAGTACCTGATTTTCTTACCTAAAAAATATGTTTTTCATTTCCTATTAATGTTAACTCAAAGTACAAAGTTTGAAGTGCCTGTATGTAAAATGTTTCAAATAAAGATTTTTTTTTTTGATATTTTCAAAATCGGGTATGATATACCCATGGTTACTAGTGGTGTAACTTTAATTGATGGTTAGTGTTCTAGGGTTAAGTAGATGCGAGAAGAAGAATCTTAAGATTATTTATGCTAATATTATCTCAAATAAAGCTCTTCTTTCATGACTAATCTGGATTTTACTAAATTCATGTAAATGTCCTCAAATAACTGAGCATCACTGTAGATGATTCATCTTAGGGAATTCAGATTCGCTACATTCAACGTTCCGTTTACTCCCAGAGATGTTCGTGTCAATTGCCTACCTTAAGCATTTGGATATATCTGCTAGGGGATGGAGCACTGTGCATCCCTGTTAATGAGCGGAGGTAGTGGAAGAGTACATTGAGTAGGTGTTAATAGGGGTCGTTGTGCTTTAGGTTTAAGAGATGAGGCAGACAAATCAATGTGAGTGTTACATCTATGGAACACCTTCAGTCAGTCTATCTGAGCAGACTGGCATACCCGACCTGAAGGCATTTCTATGGGCCACACCTATACAATCGATTAGACACTGGTTTCATAAAGAAAAATATGTCACAATATCGTGCGCATTTGGCTGTGGTGTATGTTCCCGGTATACTCTTATCAGACTAGGCGTTATATGGCTTCGTATAGTTGGACTCCAACACCACTTTGTTAGCATGTTGCTCTCGGAATAATAATAATAATAATAATAAAGGTTGCGGAAGTATAAGGATTAAACAATGAAAAAACATCTGGGAATTAAAACACACAGTCAATATGCAGCAGAAGTAACGATGTTGATGTAGATAAAAACATACCACATCGGCGGCTGAAGACTACAGTGTTAAAAGTAGAAACGGAGGCACAGAATCAAAACATATTTACAGTGCAAACATAATAAAAAATGGTGCAAGCCTAATATCTTGAGACTGTTGACCATTTAATGCCTGGGATTCCAATACTGACACAGAAGGAATAACAAAATTATCATGTTAAGACTGAATAGTATATACAGTGTAAGATATATCAGTATTATAGCTAGCTCCATTTGAATAAATGTAAAGAAGA